CAATGGAGATGTGGTTAAAGAAAGCAAGTCGATGATGGAAAGTTGGAGAACTTTAGTCATTTCAAAAGCAAATACTAGTGTGACTCCTAGTAGTTTCCTCGAAATTTGAATATCTAATTATCTTTCCTAGGTTTCGTAAAAAGCTAGGGGATTATGGGTAAATATCATTAAGTGTTATTTAAAATAGAGTAAATATTAAGAATGTTAAAAAGTGGGTATATTTTCACTTCTCCAAAAGTATTGGGGCTAATTTTCCTATTAGATCCATAAAGTTATTTCACATCTTTAACAATTTTCACAAGTTTGGGAATGGAAAAACTTATGAAAAACTTGCTAGTATTTAAATGTCTGGCATTCTATTTAGTATTGGTTGATTGAATGGATCAACACTAAAACCGACTTTGTCAAAATCAATTCCAAATGGAATTAAATCATATGAATCAAGTCAACTGATCCCTAGTTCAAGTTAAGTCAATGATGAATCAAGTTAAATCTGCTTCAACTTAAGATTAGATAATCGTGCTAATTTACCTTATAAACAGCACACAATTAAATAAATCATTTGAAATAATGTTAGACTTCTAGACAATTTGCTCAAATAAATAAAATAAATAAGGTATCAGCCGTAAATATCTGATGAAGAACAAACAAAATTCTTACACTTGGCAATTTATACTGGAAAAGGCACTGTGGACAGACCATTTGTAATATTTTCACATGAATCCATTTTACAAATTCAGTCATTATTTAGAGGGGATTCAATGCATGAACACTACAATGGTTGCAGGAAATTATGCTAGTTATTAATTATATCCAATGTTGTCTGCTCATGTGAGGTGCATTATGATTTGTGCATATAATATAAGTTAATGTTTTGGACAAATAATTCCACAAGCCTAGCTTGCCTAACGTTTATAACTGATTTATAATCACTTAAATCATTTTTGTTCTCACATTTCTTGAGATATATGAGTTCATTTGACATGACTTTTGAAAAGTTAAAATGGCTTTTTAAGACTCAAAAAGTTGCTTTTGAAAATGTTTAATTTTATAAATATATTTCTTCTAATTAGAAGAGATTTTAGACAATGGCGGACGCAGACATTTAGTGTTAGTATGGCACGATCACACTTATTAAAAAGTTATGAAAAAATTATTTATACTACATGAACACATACAAGAGATCATTGTCATAGATTCACAAATCTCATATATATGTAAAATAACAATTCTCAAAGAATTCCAAATAATCTCACATATATGAAAAATAATAATTTCCAAAGAATTTTCAAATTAAATATCGCAGATGACAAAATAATCTCAACTCTCACTCTCTCAATTGTTCGATCATCGTTGTAACTCTATTCTAATAAAAAAAAAACCCAACTATCGTTACTGCCTAAAACTAATTTTTGGCTCTAAAACCTCAAAAACAAAAAACAAAACAAAAAAAAAAACAAAAATCTTGAAAGACTAAGACCATATATAGGTCCGCCAGTGATTTTAGAAAAACCTGTCCAATGTGGCTTCCTCTAGAACTTTTTCGAAAGATAAATATTTTAGAAATTAGCTTTTAAATATCTATTAAGGTAATTTTCTTTAAAAAAAAAATACTCTTCTACAAGAAATTAAAACAAAAACAGAAGTCCTACCTAATTAGTCTTATAAGTATTACTCACTCATCCACCACTCATTTTTATTTTTTTATAATTTGAACGGTTTAAAAATACTTATATACATTCTTCAATGAATGTTCGTGTTTCATATTGTCTAATTTATACATTCTTCAATGACAATGTCCGTGTTTCATATTGTCTAATTTATAGAAAAATAGGGTTATCCCTCGAACAATAAGAAAAGTCTACAATATGTTGGTTATTTTTTTTTATTTTTTTTTGTGTGACTAGATAAAAACCGTCATTGGGGGCAAAGGTCGATTTAGGGCCCGTTTGGTAGGGATTTTGAGAATTGATTTTTTGACCGTTAGAAGAAAAGTGGGGTCCACATGTGAGAGAAGAAGTCAAAAATTAAGCCTTGAATAATAAAATAACGGTCAAAAAATCAATTTTTTGGGGCAAAAAATCCCTACCAAACGGGACCTTAGTGAACATCATGACTAAAATTTTAGAAAATTTGCAAAGTATTATAGCAAGTTCATGCGCCGCGAATAAAGGTTGATTCAGTGACACTAAAGTAATTAGATCATCTCTAATATTGAAAGACTTGCATAAGTGACAATTTTTGGCATGGACTTAGGGGGTAAAGAGTTTTAGGGAAAATCCAAGTGTACAGACCAACTATTGCCAGAAGTTTTACAGAAATCTCACATGAGAGTGGGACCCATGTGAATATTTTATTTCAAAAACTAGATCACCTACCTCATCAATGTGTGTTATTTGTAAGAAGTATGTAAAAAAAAGTTCTGTACATCTAGACGAGTCCAGAGTTTTATTATGAAGCTCTGAAGAGAGAAGAATCTAGTGCACTTTCCACGTGGCAAGAAAAAATTTGACCAGGTTTTGGTCTATTCTTGACTTTCTTCGAGGACAAAGTGCACCTGGTCAAAGGTATAAAGAGATTCAACATTTTTCAGCCGACACTACATGTGGGTTGGGACATTAACACCGTCTGCCACAAGTACGAAACATTATTTTTTGTCAAATTTTTTTTTTCCAATTAATAGAGGACTTATATATATATCAAAAATGCTATTATGCTTGGGTCATTTTAACTGACTTGGCCAGAATATCTCTCATACACCCGGTCCACCCCATTTTTTAATGCAAAAAATAAAAAATACCCACCCCCGAATCTGAGGAGTCCGGCTAGGGTTTGTGTGTGTATATATATATAATATTTTTTATTTTTTGGGCGAGGGAGAAAAGGGCTTTATAACAATTACTTGTTCAAGCTATATAAAAATGCCAATAATACAAAAATGTGAGCATGTTAGTCTAAATTCATATTACATGTTATTTAGATTTGGAGTTCCATCTTAAAATATCAACCTTATCAAAAGTGGTAGCTCAAATTCCTATATATTGGTTTATGTATTTATCTTTATTCAATGTGAAATTTATACATCACATATTTTCGCAAGATGTTAATTTGTTTGAGCAAATCAATCTTGAATTTTGCACGCTTTTTTTTTTTGAGTTTTAATCTAATCGAATTACTTATTGGAGATCAGTGAACTCTAATACCATATTCAATATTGACATTCAATCTTAAAAGGTCAACTTTAGTAAGAAGAGTAATTCAAATTCTTATATGTTATTGATTTATATTATTATTTTTGTTCAATGTAAAATTTATCTCTCAATACAACTTTTGTTTTTGATATAGTTTTCTGAGTTTATAGGTTATATTTTTTTTTTTTGGTTCACGATAAAGCAAATCTATTTTTAAACGTGTTAAAACGGATAGGTCGTTCCAAATAAATCTACCTTCGCCCAAGACGGTGCAGGTGTCTTTCAAAGCTTTAGATTGGACTAACCAATGGACATGACAATGTTACGAGATTTTTTCCCTTAATTGCATGCCTAACTCATTAATTGATGGTGTGAAATGTGCAAATGATGTAACCTTTTTTTGTCATATTATCGTTTGTTTTTTCAGTCATACTATGCATTCATGCTTAAATCCAAACTCAACATGTTGATGCGTGATTGCACTGTTTGAAAAATTAAAACAGAAACACTCAACTATTTTTTGACATATCAATCTGTCTCTTCACTCCCTATTTTTCAACTCGCAAAGTGACTTTATACTTGTTTTTTTATGTAACATGTTTGTTACTATAATTTAGGAATACTTTGAAATGCATAATCTTATTTTATTCTATTTGTTTAATGATTAGATCTTGGTCAAGGATTAGGGAAACACCATAATTATTTTGTAATTGCTTATAAGTCACGGGTTCATAACTCTTTTGTCAAGGATAGAGTGGGAATAATTGTTTTATAGCTTATGATTCACGGGTTGGTTCGTTTACTTTAGAGAAAATCACGGTGAAACGGGATGCAGATCTAGCATTTGCAATATTCCTTCTCCATATTCATATTTTTATTTAAACTGAGTTTCGAAAAAAAATCTAAATAACATTATTCCATTTATTAATTCTTCTTTTTTCTTAGCCTAGAATTCTAGTAACAATCATGTTATTAAAAAAAAAATCGTGTTATAAATACAGAAAATATTTACATTCATGCATTCATTGAAAAAAAAAGGTAAATCAACTCCCGGGGCATAACCTAGTGGTGCAAAGGACAGGAATGAGGTTATCTCACGCCTTGCTGACAATTGCAGTGTGGGGGTTCGATTCCTGAAATATGGAAGTGAACTCCTTGTAGGCGGAGTGTATATGCAGCTCTTGTTCCCTAACCTGTTAAGGCACATCCCGCGATTTACCTCCCTTCTAGGGGGCGGGCGGTGGGGATCCTCAAAGTTGGGTTCAACCTTTACTTTTTCTTTTAAGAAAAAAACGTAAATCACATTTCAATATGTCAGCTTCGATAACAAATCTTTCAAAAATTTCATGTATTTGGGACTTTTTCTTTCCAGTAAACTACCATATTGAGCATACTGAGTAGGCTCTAACTATAATGCTCTTTTATTTCGAAGAACTAAGGCGTCAAAATGAGTTTCAAAAAAGAGAATTTTTATTTTAACTTTGTAAAATAAAAAGTGATTTTGAATCTTCAAATTCACTCTACATTCTTAATAAACAATGATTACATTTAATAAGTTACAAATTTTAATATTTTACTTATTAAACTATTAAAATCATATAGTCCTTATTTGGTGGTCATTTTTTTTTTAAATAGAGTTTTAAATGGGATTTATTCAATTGGTACTTCAAAGGCTTCTATAGACTTTTTTAAGTGGCGATTTTTGTGGATTTTATAGACTTTCAAGTTATTTTTATGGATTTGCTATAAACTAATCAAAGTCTTTCATAGACTCTATTTTAATAAAATCTATAAATAAGTTTCCATAATTGCTGTCCTTCAATGCTTGTGTCAGCCTCATTTAATGACTCCCGGTAATTCTAATATGCATAGCAAACTTATTTACATTGGAAAGCCTGTTTCTTAAAAGGTTGAACCCCAACCTTAAGGGTCCTCATCGACCCTGTCCTGAGCCATCGTAGAGGAGGTAAATCGCAGGATGTGCCTCTCAGGAGCCAGGGTGGAGAGCATATGGATAGGCCAAGGCTGTTAACCCATATGGTAACTCCCGCTTGCAACAAAGTCAATTTCACCTTGCGGGGAATCGAACTCTGCACACTGCGCTGAACCCTATCCACCCTCCCCTTTGCCACTGGGAGATATGCCCTGGGGGCAGGAAAAGCCTGTTTCTTGATTTTATTGCATGTGTGGTACGATGTATTATATTGCACTGCTGGTATATTACAATGTAAGTATGTATAGTATTAATCTTTTCTCGTCCTCAGAGTGGGTGTTTGGGAAGCCGCCAAATGGGTGGCCAAGATACGAGACACTGCATGTTCAAGTTGTTCTTCTTCAGTCATCCTGCAGACCAATATGAGTGGGGGACATTTTCGTGAAGGCGGCCGTTTTGCTCAATGTTTGGAGACAGCTTACGAGTATGCTTTTCTGATGAAAATTATGCAAAAATAATGAAAATGGAGAAGAAACTGGCAGAAAGGAACTTCAATAGTTTTTGACCAAATTACGTGATGCGTGTTGAATCTTCCATCTGAATGCTTCGTGCATAGACTAACGGTAAGGTTTTTTGAATCCAAACTGCAAGTTAAGAATGCTTTTTATTTTTCAAATTTTGTCAACTAAGCATGACCTAGTGTTTTAGTATTGTTTTGTTTTTCGTTTTTTATTATTATTATTTTTTTTTTCATGTGTCGATTCCGATTTCTCAATTAACTTTCTGCAACTATATCATGTAATGCTCAAGTTCATAGCACAATCTTTTAATATTGAATGACTATGTCAATGTTTCTTCAGGTGGCAGGTCCAATACCTGGTTGTCAAACAATCTTCATTTACTTTATTTCTCAGAAGGAAGATTTGTTGATCGGATCAAAGAAGTGGTTATCTATTCTATCTGTGCAAGTGTAACATCGAGAAAAAGACAATCAAAGAGGAGTAGAGTTTTGAATTGGCTGAACAAATCTTCTCTCGTGTTAGTGCAGGTTGATCGGAATTCATTGGTTAGCTGCATGTTACTGTAGATTAGCTTCTTTTTAGGTGACAGTGGAAAGCCTTGAAGATATATCCTTTTCTTTTAAGATTTAGCTTAAAATTATCTCATATCACAGTATTATGTGTAAAACAGTAGAAATGGCACAAAATTTGTGTAACATGTGTTTGCTGAGAACCATGAATCAATATCCATATTTTTCCTTGTGATTGTAAGAGAAGTGGAGTTTGGCATGGCCCAACACACCCATCTATGCCATGCTATGGCCAAAGCCCAAAGACGATGGCATGGTGCGACCCAGCATTGGATGGGCTTATGGGCCAAGCCGACCTATAAAACTACTTTACACCCATACACAACAAATTTTAGTATTTTGCTAAATACAACTTTTTCTAGCTTTATTGAGAGCTCTTTTGACACGATTTTTGTTTTTGCTATCTGTAAAAGACTGGTGAAGAAATTACAGGCTCATTTGGCATGACTTTTGAAAAGTTAAAATGAACAAAACAAATTTCAAAACAACTTTTGGATTTCAAAAGTTTATTTTGACTTTTCAAAAGTCATGCCAAACGGACCTGAGAAATCATTCAAATGTCTCTCTCTATATATATATCAATCTAACCGCACTTTATGTGCACTAGAGAAATGCTTTGCTGCAGAAACCATGGCTTCCTCTGGGCCTTTAGCTTTCGAAGCTTTTACATTTTCGCCTTTACTGGATATACACAAGAACGAAGCCAAAGATTTCAAGATTTTGGAGTACCAATTATTTCCCTTGTGTTTACTCATCTTAACAAGCTCTAGTAAGCTGCAACCTTAGCACATCCAAAACGGGATTAATCCTTTTGGATTAACAAAATGAAAATGCTAAATGTACAATGAGAAATTTAACACGCGTTATGACTTAAATAAGCATTGATTTCTTGGGGATTAAGCTTAACTTGGTGAAAAAGCAATTTGACCATTATGAAGCATCCCAGAAATTAGAAAGTTTTGACGAAGATCATTTGTTCTTTGGTCCAAGTCCAAGTCCAAGATCATCACGAGTCTTGATTTATTAATATTTTTTTCCCTTGGAAATTGTCTTTATATAAGTTGGAAATTTCTTTATTTAATTTTGATTTACTCGCATGGAGAGGATGGAATACAGTACATGTTAACTTCAAGGTTTGATTGGGTTCTTTTTAAGTGAAAAAGGACGAAAAAGTAGGTTATTCATTTAATTTTTTGGGGTAATTAGCACATAACATCTTTACATTTTATTTTTTGACATTTTCACCCTTATTTTCACTTTTCATTGCGCAAAAAGTTTTTTTTCATTAATTTTATCAATTAAAAGTTGTGAAACAAAGAGTATAAAATATTTAAATAAAATAAAAAGAAAAAAGAAATAACTATTTGCAATCATGGTCCCAATTTTTTTTAAAAAATGCAAACGAGTCCCAAATAAATTAGTAAAAAGGTAATTAGAACACAATGCCCCTACATTTCATACGGAAAAACTTATGAAAAATTTGCCAGTATTTAAATGTCTGGCATTCTATTTAGTATTGGTCGATTGAATGGATCAACACTAAAACGGGCTTTATCAAAAGCAACTCCAAATGGAATTAAATCATATGAATCAAGTCAACTGATCCCTAGTTCAAGTTAAGTCAATGATGAATCAAATTAAATCAGCTTCGACTTAAGATTAGACAATCGTGCTAATTTACCTCATAAAGAGCACACAATTAAATAAATCATTTGAAATAATGTTAGACTTCTAGACAATTTGCTCAAATAAATAAAATAAATAAGGTATCAGCCGTAAATATCTGATGAAGAACAAACAAAATTCTTACACTTGGCAATATATACTGGAAAAGGCACTGTGGACAGACCATTTGTAATGTTTTCACATGAATCCATTATACAAATTCAGTCATTATTTAGAGGGGATTCAATGCATGAACACTACAGTGGCTGCAGAAAATTATATTAGTTATTAATTATATCCAATGTTGTCTGGTCATGTGAGGTGCATTATGATTTATGCATATAATATAAGTTAATGTTTTGGACAAATAATTCAACAAGCCTAGCTTGCCTAACGTTTATAAATGATTTATAATCGCTTAAATCCTTAAATCATTTTTGTTCTTACATTTCTTGAGATATATGAGTTCGTTTGACATGACTTTTGAAAAGTTAAAATGACTTTTTAATACTCAAAAGTTGCTTTTGAAAATGATTAATTTTATAATTATATTTCTTCTAATTAGAAGAGATTTAAGACAATGGCGGACGTAGATATTTAGTGTTAGTAAGGCATGATCAAATTTATTAAAAAATTATTTATGCTACATGAACATATACAAGAGATCATTGTCATAGATTCACAAATCTCATATATATGTAAAATAACAATTCTCAAAGAATTCCAAATAATCTCACATATATGAAAAATAATAATTTCCAAAGAATTTTCAAATTAAATATCGCAGATGACAAAATAATCTCAACTCTCACTCTCTCAATTGTTCGGTCATCGTTGTAGCTTTATTCTAATAAAAAAACCCAACTATCACTACTGCCTAAAACTAATTTTTGGCTCTATAACCTCAAAAACAAAACAAAAACAAAAAAAAAAAAATCTTGAAAGACCAAGACCATATATAGGTCCGCCAGTGATTTTAGAGAAACCTGTCTAATGTGGCTTCCTCTAGAACTTTTTCGAAAGATAAATATTTTAGAAATTAGCTTTTAAATATATATCAAGGTAATTTTCTTTAAAAAAAAAAATACTCTTCTACAAGAAATTAAAACAAAAACAAAAGTCCTACCTAATTAGTCTTATAAGTATTACTCACTCATCCACCACTCATTTTTATTTTTTTATAATTTGAACGGTTTAAAAATACTTATATACATTCTTCAATGACAATGTTCGTGTTTCATAGTCTAATTTATACATTCTTCAATGACAATGTCCGTGTTTCATATTGTCTAATTTATAGAAAAATAAGGTTATCCCTCGAACAATAAGAAAAGTCTACAATATGTTGGTTATTTTTTGTGTGTGACTAGATAAAAACCGTCATTGAGGGCAAAGGTCGATTTAGTCAACATCATGACTAAATTTTTAGAAAATTTGCAAAGTATTATAGCAAGTTCATGCGCCACGAATAAAGGTTGATTCAGTGACACTAAAGTAATTTGATCATCTCTAATATTGAAAGACTTGCATAAGTGACAATTTTTGGCATGGACTTAGGGGGAAAGAATTTTATCATGAAGCTCTGGAGAGAGAAGAATCTAATGCACTTTCCACGTGGCAAGAAAAAATTTGACTAGGTTTTGGTCTATTCTTGACTTTCTTCGAGGACAAAGTGCACGTGGTCAAAGGTAAAAAGAGATTCAACATTTTTCAGCCGACACTACATGTGCGTTGGGACATTAACACCGTCTGCCACAAGTACGAAACATTATTTTTTGTCAAATTTTTTTTTCCAATTAATAAAGGACTTTTATATTTATATATATATCAAAAATACTATTTTGCCTGGGTCATTTTAACTGACTCGGCCAGAATATCTCTCATACACCCGGTCCACCCCATTTTTTAATGCAAAAAATAAAAAAATAGAAAATACCCACCCCCGAATCTGAGGAGTCCTGCTAGGGTTTGTATGAATGACCCTAGCAGAATAACATGGTTATATATATATATATATGATATTTTTTTATTTTTTGGGCGAGGGAGATAAGGGCTTCATAACAATTACTTGTTCAAGATATATAAAAATGCCAATAATACAAAAATGTGAGCATGTTAGTCTAAATTCATATTACATGTTATTTAGATTTGGAGTTCTATCTTAAAATATCAACTTTATCAAAAGTGGTAGCTCAAATTCCTATATGTTGGTTTGTGTATTTATCTTTATTCGATGTGAAATTTATACATCACATACTTCCACAAGATGTTAATTTGTTTGAGCAAATCAATCTTAAATTTTGCATGCTTTTTTTTTTGAGTTTTAATCTAATCGAATTACTCATTGGAGATCAGTGAACTCTGATATCATATTCAATATTGAGATTCTATCTTAAAAGGTCAACCTTAGTGAGAAGAGTAATTCAAATTCTTATATGTTATTGATTTTTGTTATTATTTTTATTCGATGTAAAATTTATCTCTCAATACAACTTTTGTTTTTGATATAGTTTCTGTGTTTATAGATTATATTTTTTTCTGGTTCACGATAAAGCAAATCTATTTTTAAATGTGTAAAAACGAATAGGCCGATCCAAATAAATCTACCTTCGCCCAAGACGGTGCAGGTGTCTTTCAAAGCTTTAGATTGGACTAACCAATGGACACGACAATGTTACGAGATTTTTTCCCTTTTTGTTTATATAGTTCTGTTTCGCACGGGTTAGTCGCTAACAATTAAAAAGGATCAGATGATTGTGTAAGGGATAAAATCTCTTGAGACAAAGTCCCAAAAAAAAGTTTTCTTTTATTGGCGATGACTTTACAATTGGAAATGAAAAAAAAAAGTGCCTCTAAGGGGCGCAAGCACACAAGTTACCGAAAAAAAAGTGTTTAAATTTAAAAACTAAGGAAATTAAAATTACATGTTCTCTGTTCGAAAGTTTTGGATTCGGTCCTTTGCTTCTATGTCCTTTCTCCCTTTTATACTTCATGGACGATATCTTTGTGATCAACCGCTCTAAAAACTGCTTGATCATCCTATAACTGCCCACTTTCTTCGTAATGGCTAACTTGTCATGAAAATTGCCTTTTTTAACTGTTGTCATTACTCTTCATCGTTCAACCGCTTTCGATTGAATTCCTTGAGTCGTGGAACGTGATAGGGCTGCTTTAATAACTGTTTTAATAACTACACTTCTTGATAACCACGACGCTTTATGTTTGTTAAGACCTTGGGCGACTTGAAGATTTGGGCGAGAATAGAGTAACAGCTCTGGGCGACTGTATGACACTCCATTCGCTCAGATTCTGGGCGACTTGCAAACTTGGGCGATGGCGTTACCGCATTCTTGGGCCTCCTTATTTGGGCCTTCATCTTGATTTGTTCGATTGGGCTTCGTTCTTTGGGCTATCTGATTTGGGGATCCTCCAATTGGGCTTCACTCCTTGGACTGTTGGATTTGGGCTGAATTTTTATGTGTCAACAATTACCCCCCAATATGGCAGAATTAATAATAATTATTAAATTTTGCCATATTCACTTTGTGTTTCCAGCAACATTCGAAATTTTCAAGAATTTCAATCATTGTTTCCTTCTATAACTTGAAAAGGTGCGTCGTTTTGCAAACCCTTATAACCCCAAACACGCCATTTCACTCCACCATTAAACCACGCCTCAAATTTTTCGCGTCTCTCTCAAGATTTAATGTTCATCCTTTGCTTCCCTGCTACGTAACCCTGAAAAACTTCGTTTCATCTCAAATGGCTACTTCACAATCTCAAGCTGGCGACTCCTTTAGTTTCGATGACTTTCAGAAACTCCTGAGTCATCCATACATAACTCCGAGTTTTCTCGCACCCGCCGTTCTACTTGGGTCCTTTCTTCAACAATGCAAAGGCAGTTGAACAGACGGCGGTAGGTCAGCTATTTCCTTGCACTCAGGGCCCTCCATTTCTGAACTCTCTACCACTGGGGCCACTTCGCGAAAGAGGTATTCGCACTTAACCTAAATCTGATGTAGCTTTCCGTAGGTGGCGTGCTCGCCTTGTGGGTCATGGTCCTACTAAGGCACTTTTTGATAGCGCTAGGATTTCTGATTTGTTAGAAATCTCTATTCGCCCCCCTACTTTTGATTCAGCACTCTTTTCGATTGCTTTGAGTTT